TTTTTTTTTTTTTTTTTTTTTTTTTTTTTTTTTTTTTTTTGTGTGTGTGTGGAATGTCCCCCTTCAACCTTCAAGGTCATCATCCCACGATCTTTTTCACCAAAAAACAAAAACAAAAAAAAAAACCTTGAAAGGGGGCAGGGCAGGTGGGGGGGCAGAAAGGATAGGAAGACGAAGAACTTACTGCGAGCGCGGGCGGCAGCGCGCCCATGACATCAGCAAGTCCACCAACCTTCGACCATGGAGCCACCTCTGCTCCCACAAAGACTAGCGACATTCTCCTCCTCCTCCTCCTCCTCCCTGATGTCTCTTCCAACACCTTTGCCATGGCCGCGGGCATCTGCATGTCCAGCGAACGTCTTCTTGCCGTCGCCGTCGATTCGGAGCCATCCTTGGCCACAGCCACTCTAATTGCGCCACGTGGACCCCCTGAAGGAGGAGGAGGAGGAGGAGGTGGGGGTGGGGGTGGGGGTGATCTCTCTCTCTCTCTCTCTTTCTCCCTCTCTCTCCCGTCCCCGGTCGACGCAACCCGGGTCGGGATCGGAAGGTTGCAAGGCCACGTGGTCGCCGGAAGGCGACAAAGAGGATGACGACGATGAGAAGGAATTGCACGACATCGTGACACGTGGCATCCCCTCATCGAGTGACATTGGCGGCTATGGCGGCTATGGCGGCAAGGAATTGCACGACATGGCCCCCGGTGGCACTCTCTCCCGCCAACGAACGAGGAAGACGAAGATGAAAGGCGGGTCATCATCGCTAAGCGATCTGACCTCTTCTGCCTGAGTGACACGTGGCTAGTGGACAATGTGGAAGAGAGGCATCTGGCAGGCAAAACAGCAGCTAAACCTGGCGGCGCCGCGGCCGCCATAGCCGCCATAGCCGCCATAGCCGCTGAGCTTGGCGAGCTTGATAAGCTCTGAACGAACGAGGAAGACGAAGACGAAAGGCGGGTAATCATCGCTAAGGGAGTTGACCTCTTCGGCCTGAGTGACACGTGGCTAGTGGAGGATGTGGAAGAGAGGCATCTGGCCGGGAAAACAGCAGCTAAGACTGGCGGCGCCGCGACCGCCATAGCCGCCATAGCCGCCATAGCCGCTGAGCTTGATGAGCTTGATGAGCTCGATGAACGTATTCGACCACCGGCCGCGGCAGGCACCGTCAGGTAACTCACAGCATTAGTTCTTTCCCCCTTCTTCCTCCATGAATCGCAGGGCCGCTGCAATCCACGAATCGCCATAGCCGCCATAGCCGCCGAGCTCGACGAATCGGATGGCCAATTAGTCGGTGACAGGGCAGCCAACCGACACGGCGAATAACGTGGTAGTATGGAGGAGATGGAGGAGGGGAGGACATACTCGCTGCCAGCGCGACATCCCGACGAGCACGCAGATGAAGAGACAAAATGGGGGTGCACACGGATCATCGCTGCAGGGGATGCCATTCTGCAAAAAAAAAAAAAAAAAAAAAAAAGGGGACAAGTTGGGA